CGTGATAATTTTCAGCCATTAACTTAGCCATAAAGCTATGATGGCCTGTCAACTCAAGTTAATATTTCAGAAACTTTGAGTCGTTGACCTGGATTTGCTTGGGTGGAGTTCTTATAGTAAAGAATAGAAAACTTGAGGTTTCCGTTATAAATATTTCAGAATTCTTGTTTGGTCACAAACGACGGGGTAGTCCAAGAACTACATTAATGTCACGACTACGCACAAATCTTTCGGCAACCCAACAGGAAGCTTTACTTTAATAAAGAAATAAATATGTACTTCTGTATCACTAAGTTATTACTAACGAATTTTATGAAACAACCTTCCGTGCTATCATTTCTTATTAATCACGATTGGCCCATTTTATGTGCATTAGTATTAAGACTAATAGTTTATAGTTTCTATATACGTGTATATAATACGGTTGTAAACAAAGTATTTAATTTGTAGTAATTTCCGTAGCAAAATAAATTTAGAATATTCTCAAACTTTCCTTTAAGTACTCGCAGACGACAAAACAAAAGGAATAGAAACACCCAGATGACGTTACTAAACAAATATCTTATTGTTACGACAACGAAAGTCACGCAACGCTGGGAGCATGCGCGCTGGAGTTTCTAGAAGGATCATGAATTTTCTTGGCAACTCTAGTTTGTTCCAGACGCCCTCTTTTTTTAGTATATAAGCCCGGCAAATAAAGCCAGCAAAAAAATATTGAATTGCATAGGTATGCAGATAGGTTAAAGATAGAGATAATTGAGTCAAGCGAACAGTAGACACCGTAAGTAAAGTGTGTGAATCACTGTGATTTATAGCGTCTGTTATAAAATTTGTTAAGTGTATTACAAAGTTGTATCCAGAAAGAATAAACTAGTTTTAATTAAGAAAGGACTTGTGTCGCTGAAGTTCCTCGGAAAGAATTTATACCGGAAATTAACAAACGAGCAGATACGTAACATTATTATCTTAATCTGTCTTAGTGATTATTTGTTTAAAACATGATAAACGAAGATAATGTTAACACGAACATTCAGGTTGTACTAACCAGGTTATTAAACATAAATAGGTTGTACTTACCAGGTTATTAAACATAAATAAGTTGTACTAACCAGGTTATTAAACATAAATAGGTTGTACTTACCAGGTTATTAAACATAAATAAGTTGAACTAACCAGGTTATTAAACATATATATTTCAAACACCCTCTTTTTTTCACGCACTTTCTCCTATATCTCTTCATACAAGCAAAGAACTGGGAAATCAAAGAGACCATTCAAGGGACTGTAAGGTTGCATTAATCATGACAAACTGAGTTAAGGTTTAGACTATACAAGACGTCTTCATCCGTGAAGACGCCAGTTGATACCGACAGTTTGGCCTTGGGTTTTAACTTTTAGTTCTAAATGTATTTTTCGTCCAGACTGGACATAACTAAAATTTTACGCTGCCTTCTGTACTCGCGAAATTTTGCGTTAAGTTATCAGATATGATTAACGCAATTCACCACTGAATCAGATTGTCCAAATAACATAATTAGTTTATATGGTTATCACGTCTAACATCTGCGAACACTTGATTATCAGGTCTTTTTTTATTGTGAATTATGCTTTCTAGCTTTGTCCTTTAGTAACAACAAAGATGACACGTTCACTTGAAAGACTTACTCAGGTCTCTAGTCTTTAATGATTTCCACATTTTGTTAGTTTTGTTTAGTATTCTTCATAACAAGAAAACCACTTCAACACTTTGCATACAGAATTCTAATACTTACAATGTTAACTCTTACATGATCGGCTTCTTACATTCACTACCGGTAGGGTCAACATACTGCATCATATTGAGTGATTTAATTTTTTTTTGCTTGTTACAACATTCTTTGTAAAGAACTGACCAAAAATTTTGGTGAAATCATTCATTTCCTGTGTAAAATACATAGGGTGCTCCAGCAGTAATTAATAAGATTAACTGTAATATTGGCGAAATTTTTGTGTTATTTTTTCATGTGACTCCTAATACTATTAAGGACTTGTAACAAACAGATTCACCCACAAGCAATTTGGTGCATAAATAGCTTACAAAAATGGAGATGTGTTTGAAAAGTCTATGTGTTCCATTTCTAATGTTAAATAATCGTATACACGTACCTTTTTTACTTCATTTAAGACAAGATATATAAACCCGTCAAGAATTTGATTTAGAAAGCCAATCAAAGAGTGTTAAATCCCAACTTCAAAGTTTTAAAATGAACGTTTTAAATATCTCAGTAGTAAGACTCAAATCAAATGATATAATTCTAACTACAGCAGTTATTTTCTGTGTATTGGTATTGGCACATTTGCAAGTTCTGCCTAAAGGTGAACGACAAGTTTAAGTGAATAGTATTGTACTGGCTCAGATTTGTGCAAGTTCGTTAAAGGTTATAAATATAATACAAAATGATTAATGAGGTCAGAAGAACACGTAGTTTCAATAAGTCTTGATACAAAACGATAAAAATCCTATAACCTGAACGTTTTATAAAATTGAACATTGCAATATAATATTTGCCAACGTTTTTTTTTTTTTTAAATTGTTTGGTAAAAAAAAAATGTTATAATAATCGCAGTATCCCAGGGAATCTAACACTGCATGAAAACGATTAAAATTATATCTAGTAACATAAAGAACCCTAAACCACTGACTACTCAGGGAAAACGACTAGCCTTATCGAGCTCGCTGCTTGCGTAACGCTACGTTTTCTCACATTTCATCTTTTCATTTCAAATTCCCGAAATCTTTGCTTGCATTAAGCGAAAGACACTACGCCTCAAACTGAAAGGAAGAACAAGTACGTAGACGTCAAGGGAAATGAAAATGGTTATTGTTATGAAATGGGCACGTTTATTACTAGAGCCATCAAGATATTTGTGCTTCTTGCATTGTTTTAGAATAACTTCTTTCTATTTCCTGTTTTGTTTTCAGCGCAAAATTACACAATGGGCCATCGGCACTCTGCCAATCTCGGAGAATCGAACCCCGGATTTTAATGTTGTAAATTCGAAAACGTACCGCTGACTTACTGGGAGAATCTCCTTAAAAGTTAATAAATTACAATACAAAATAAACATTATGTTCTGGAAGGCCAAATATCGTGTATTTCATATACAGAAAAATTTGACAGAGAACTTAAAGCTCAGGTAATATCTTCCTTTGAAAATATAAATTATTTTTATGCTGTATTGAAAATTAAAAATATCTTGAAATCTAAGAAAATATTTTATTTTAAAATTTACAATTTTAATTCTATAATAGCCGAGTAAAATGAAGTTTCATTTACTCCATTTCAATATTTCATAACTATATGCAAAAAGTCGATTTATTTAAGGCTTAATTGTATTTGAATTCTCTTTCTCCACGTGATTTGCATGCTGACACCTTACGTTTACTAAATATAACTGTTATATTCTTTAACTTAATTACCTGGTTTGTAAGTTCATTTTAAGTCACGAAGATCACAAGAAGTAATCGACAAGTTTCAATTAAAAGTTTGTTCTGTAACAAATAAAATCCAATTAAGAAGTTGTGTAATTATCTGAAAGTAAATCAACATATTTCAATTCGTAGTTTCTACACAAATTCTGAACTTCATCAAGTTTTATAAATGCCATTTTGGAAGTGAATTAATATATATATTTTTTAAATTTCTTACCAGTTGAGACCAGACACCAAAAAAACGGGTCATTTGTAATATTGGCCATTTCTCCTACGAAAGTTAAAAGCTCACAAACTTTACTCTTAGAGCTGAAATTGACAGCCCGACAAGCTGTGGTCCTGTAGCTGCAAACAAAGGTACACTCTTCGATAGATTGGACAGTGTCCAGAACGTCCAAAATGTTGTTCATCTGCCGGCTACCGGTCAACAGGTTATAATACAGTTTCTCATAAATCCCTGTGGAACCGAAACCCAGCTGTAAAACAACGGTAAAAATCCAATAAATCTTCCCGGCTGACATAGCGTTTTTTTTTAAGAGATAAAAAAACAGTCTACTCCACATGAATATTTCTTATTCATGTAACGCTTCTAAATTCAGCAGTATTGACTCCTGGCAGTTCATTTGAAAACGTATCTTTCGGTTAGAGTTTTATAGTCACACTCATCGAATGAGAGAATCTTATTGGTCGTTGTACGTTAATAACTCAAACGAGGACAAAGCAGTTAACCAATAAGCGTAGACATAAAATAACTAAAAATATTATTTATGCTCATTGCCCCTTAAGTGCAAGGAGTTTGACAGTATGAAACAACAGGCACACTATTGATCAAAATAGACTGAACATCTATACTTTTTGTGTCGTGATGGCTATGTCTTTAGATTTTTATATTTTGCTACATATATGTATGTATGTTTGTGAATAAGAGTGTTGGAAATATAAATCTTCGCTCTCGATTGGATGTTATTTCCATATTATTAATTTAGCCCTGCCATTATATGGTTATTTGATTTCATTCTTTCTGGCTCCGTATTGATTGAAAAGCACATGCTCTAGGTTAGTGAGGACACGGGCGAGTGCAACCTCGTTAAGTGTGCCAGGCTGTGGATCAGGAGGTCCAGAGTTCGAGCACCAATATGCAGCTAAACACGCTTCGCATTTTTATCTATGCGTATATTATAAAAGTGAGTAGGAAAATGTGAAGGTGATAAATTAAATAAATTAGACTTTTAGAGAAAATCACCATTAAAAACTATGGTAGTAATTTATTTACTTGGCAACGTTTCGAGCAAACGCTCTTTTTAAGCCAGAAACAAGTCTGTCGATTAATGAATTATAAAAGTAGCCTTGAAGCGACAGGTACTGCTGACTCGTTAGTCTCCCCCTGATCAGCAGTTCTAAACGAGAGGTGGCTATTCTTGAACATTGGAGTTTCTGACCAGGGCGTTTAGCCCATGGGTCGCTTAAGGTACTGTTCAGATTGAAAGTACTAAATTCCTTGTACAGAGGGTCCATTTTGGTATCATCCATGTAACGAAAATTAGAAATAAACAGCCTCTAGCTAAGAGATATGTCACTCCTTCAGAATATCACTAACATTATTAACTATTTTTACCAGGCAAATGTTTGATTAGGGTTTTAACATTAACTTGTAACTTTTACAATGATCTTAATTATTATGTTGCTTTAAGTCTTTGAAATACACTCAAAATCAAAACCATAGCGAATTTCATACGAGAATTGGTTTTGACCTTTTTATTTGACCCATAGGACATCAATATGATCATTCAAGCAAAATACAAGGCTCGTTCTTTAATATACGAGTTAATGTTTACACTGAGGTCTTATGTCTTTTTAGTTTCTTAATAAACATAACAACTATATAAGTATGATTTCATTAACTGAATAGAATAACTATCCCTGATTTTATAGCTTTTCAAACTGAGAAACAAAATTACATTACTTCTTTTGTTGTTGTTGTTTTTGCAGTGGAAAAAGAAAGTCGTATCTTTCCTATACCCGCCATTGCATGAATAACCGGAAGTCATGCTGCTGGTAGGGTGAAGGGCACAAATCATAGGTCAAGGTCATAATTCATATCCAAAAGTATCACATATTATCACTTGCCTTAACATAGTTTAAACAGTTCCCTTACACAGTATAACCTTTCATTAGTGGAAAAAAAAAACAATTTTTATTTAAATATGGTTATAACTTTCTCTAAATTTAAATCGATAGTCTAGAGCAGTAGTTCTCAAACTGGGTGGTACATCCCACCCCACTCCCAGAGGAGGCGTGGAATGTACACGCACACATGTTTATTAATGTATAAGTAATATTTTAGATAACATTTACTTTACTTTATATTTACATGCATGCCCGTTTGAACATATGGTGCAGTACATTTTTAACACTTAGTGATAGGATTATATTATTTTTTTACAGGTATGTCCATATATGTGACTCTAACTAACTCTTGGACTACTCTTACCTGACCGAAAAGTAGGATTTGGCAATCACTCTTATAGCATTCCCATAGCCTAAAAGTGCAGAGCGCATTTTTACGGTAACAGTCCACTAACAACGAATCCTCTAATTCACTATACAAGCATGCTAACCATTAGGCCACGCCCGGCTCGTAAATTAAATTTAGTGGCGTCATTTACAACCTCTATGCCAAAATGAATCGTATTTCATCTACCCACCAGTAAGTCTAAAATTCCATTTTTTCAGCTTAAAGTCGTTAAGCAGATGTCGCGCAAAAACAGAACAAAAACATCAATGAGAACTGAACTGTATTTACAGCTTTTGAGTTGTTGTATGGCAATGAACTGTATTTACAGCTTATGAGTTGTTGTATGACATTGAGAACTGCACTGTATTTACAGCTTATGAGTTGTTGTATGACAATGAGAACTGAACTGTATTTACAGCTTATGAGTTATTGTATGACAATGAGAACTGAACTGTATTTACAGCTTATGAGTTGTTGTATGACAATGAGAACTGAACTGTATTTACAGCTTATGAGTTGTTGTATGACATTGAGAACTGAACTGTATTTACAGCTTATGAGTTGTTGTATGACAATGAGAACTGAACTGTATTTATAGCTTATGAGTTGTTGTATGACAATGAGAACTGAACTGTATTTACAGCTTATGAGTTGTTGTATGACGTAAAGGTGAAGTAATGTTTTCAAGTAAAGAAAAAATCAACAATACTCCGAGACGAAGAGACAAGTATTCTAAGAATAATATCTATTAATGTTTGGTTCTAAATAAAAGTGAGACGAGTACAAAACGTCGACGTTAGAAAAACATTTATGATATTTCATCTGAAGTCTATAATTCTGATTAAAATGTTTTACTTAATATTTATATACAGTAGCCACCCGATAGCTCGGCAGTAAGTCTGAGGGATTATAATGCTAAAAATCGGGTTTTGATACCTGCGGTGGGCACAATACAGATAGCCCATTTATGCAGCTTTGCGCTTATCAACAGACAAACAATTATATACAATATAAATTCGAGCCTGGCATAATCTGGTGGTTAGGGCGCTCGATTCGTAGTCTGCAGGTCGAGAGTTCGAATTCCCGTCACCAAACATAGTCGTCCTATGAGCCGTGGGGGGGCGTTATATGTGACTGTCAATCCCACAATTCGTTGGTAAAAGAATAACCCCATAAGAATGGGTGATGTTGACTAGCTGCCCTCCTTCTAGTCTGTTACTGCTAAATTAGAAACGGCTAGAGTAAAAAGCCCTCGAGTAGCTTTGCGCGAAATTCAATACATAAAACAGTAAAAGTACTTGTTATTGGTGTTTATTTCACTCTTTTGACAATAGATGGCGGAAAGCAGCAGCGATATTTATAAATAAATGAATGATTAAGCCATTATGAATATCCAACTTCACAAATCGGTTGATTTAAATGTAAGTTGGTTACCTTTCGGGTCTAACACACGTACGTGAAAATATAAATAAAAACACGTACGATATGTACTACTTGTACACTAATTGCAAATATTAGGGAGTAATATCTTTATTAAACTGTTTATTGATAAAAGTAATTCATCACACGCACATTTCCGAGTTGAATATAAACTTACATATAATTAGGCCTCCTCATTTTGGAACAGAACAAGGTGATTTTCTATGTTAATTTAAGTTATAGGAAGCTAATTTACGAACAAATCATTGATAAAAAGAACGTTTTAAACCAGTGAACCGTGACACATGGATATTCATTTTAAGAGTGACGCATCAAGAGCATTAATATTAACTATATAGATGTTTATTAGTAAAATATAAAGTTATCTTACGAGTTATGTGACTTAGTTTTTTTTTCAGTCACTGTAGCAATTAATATTCAAGGAACTTTTACAGTACCTTAAACATTAAATTTCAGAATTAAATAAAGAACTTTCATGTATGTAAAGGTTCATTTGATTTGTTAAAAAGGGGTCAATGATACGATATTTAGAAGAACTTTATATGTGTACTTTTCATTTATTTATGACAAAGCTACTGTGGCTTTTTGACGTCGTCCCTAACTATGAACAATAAAGCAGAAGGAATTCAGCCAATCAGCAGCACCATACCACTCACCACCCACGGTAAGAGATTGGTTGTCATTTTTACAACGCATCCACAGCTCCAAAATTTAGATCTTTACAACTATATCAACCAGAGCCTCAACATTTAGAAGAATGAAATATCATAATTGTTCTTATTGTTATTGAGTAGTTATAGAGAAACTCTATATAAATTTCATATATAATTTTAATCATAATTAAAGAAATGTCTGTTGACAGCTGCAGCATGAGATTCAGCTTTAGCGATTATAATGTATAATAAATACTCATGTTTCGTAAAGGGTAACATTTCCTTTTGCTGCATCAGGAAAGGAAATAGATTGTTGACTGTGTTAGGATTGCTGTCAATATCTGTACATCTATATGTTCTTCACGAGTTCCTTTATTGTTTCTATTGCAAAATGTTTTTCTCATTCATATTAATTAGCTTTCATTATTATTTGAAATCTTAACCTATTTTCCCTTTATTTGTTAATCATTTATTCCTAAAATAATCAGTAAATTTAAAAGGGTCTATAATTTAAAACTTTAATCGGTGATACACCACAAGCTATCTGCCAGACCACTTTTTCCCTTCCTAAGCCCACTATCGGGACTCACAGGCCTTCATGTTGTGTATGTTTTATGAAGGCCTTCATAATATTTATACCATGGAAACGCCTTCATCCTGTGTATCATTTGTAAAGGTTTTCGTGTTGTATATACTTTGTAAAGGATTTCTTGGGGAGTATTTTTTAAAAACCGCTATAATGTGCATCAGTTAGGAACTAATGTATATATTCATAAATACCTTTATTTATAATGTGCTAAGCAAAACTCCTGTTGACCGCTGTACTCTCTCCTCCTGGATACAATCCTGAATCCGCCACTGTTTTTCATATCTAGTTTTCGTTGAAACACAAACTCAGTATTCATAAAGCCGAACTAACTGAAAAATTGAGTAAGAAACTCGCCAACTCAGTAATCATCAATATATTATAACAGAATAAAAGAAAATCAGTAATAATTTACATTAGCCTAAGTAGCAGTTAATAGTGATCTAACTATTTTAAAACATTGGATAAAGTTCCTGACATCAAGCTACAGCCACACCGTTATACCTCTCTCCTGTCATTCAACAATACTGTGTAAAGGTCTTACTGGTACGTATACTTAGTAAGTGCTTTCTTAATGAACATACCTTGTATTTAATTCGGAAACTTCTTTCCTCTTACTTCACTTTCATGGTGTGTATAGTTTGCATTTAACTGGAACCATCTCATTAGAGTCAGAAAATATTTAACACTGGTGGGCCAACAGTGCTCGGCAGTATGTGACACAGCCCAAAAACCTTCTGCCAAAATACAACAGTGCAGACTGACAGCCGGTGAGCAGCATGGCCTTCCCTATTCATATATAACTCCAGAGGCAACACGCTATCGGCCTTTCTCACTTATAACACTAAAAAAAACGGGTTTCGATACCTATGGTAGGCATAGCACAGATAGCCCATTGTGTAGGTTCGTGTTTAATAACCTTATGAGTTTTCCAGTTTAACGAATTCATCCTAACGTACTTTTTCACTCATCTCTAAGAATACAATACTCAAATAAATAAACTCAGAGTCACGTGCATCAGATATAAAAAAGTAACAAGTTCCTGCGGTAATTAGATGAAAAGATACTCTGGAAATAAAGTCTCGACTTCACGTGGTCTTACTTTCAAACGTGTTTCCCCCTCCAGACTTGTGTCGCCGCCGAGCATGTCACTTTCTTCTAACCAGTCTCCGGTTTAGTGGGTGTGTCAGTTATCCTTTATCTCATCTCTCTGTCACTCGCTAGGGCTGATGGAAGAGAATCTTAACGTGTATTTTGAGTTTTGTATCTCTTAGTTCCGATGTTGTTCTTATGCAAGTAGGAAGTATATTATGATTCTCATAGTTAATCATATCGTTGGTGCTTAAATTAACCTTGAAGCTAGAATTAAGTTTGAGAGAACAGTTGAAATGAATGCAGAGTCTCACAAATTATCAAATACCGTGGGTTTTCAGGACTCGAACATTTTTAACGGTTCTAGAAATACTAAAATTGTGTCAGCTACAACATTTGTTTCATCACTCAAACCCGAAAATGTCACAAAATGCTTTAGTCATGTCTTAGGTCCAGCTTCTCCTGTAGCATCATCAGGAGGAACCTTGGTTACAGATCGTTCTGGTCACGTATTAGGTCCAGCGCCCCGTGACCAGACCCAGAGAGCATGTCTCCTGTGGGCCTGTAAGGCTTGTCAGAGAAAGAACTCAACGATCAACCGACGGAAGGCCGCGACTTTGCGAGAAAGACGAAGACTCCGGAAAGTGAACGAAGCATTCGAGATGTTAAAGAAGCGGACGTGCCTGAACCCAAACCAGAAACTTCCTAAAGTAGAAATACTCCGCAATGCGATTGTTTACATTGAAAGCCTTAAATGGCTTCTTCAGAGTGAGCACAGCTCTTGGGACAGATGTAATTCCTTGTGTACCAGATGTGACCCCGAATCTGAAGGTGAACCAAAAACCGATAATGTAAGTTGGTACAACATCAAGTGCAGGCTTAATGAGATACGATTGTGTCAAACTAATTTTAACACTGATCGTTAAACATCTTATTTTAGTATATCTTACTAACATTGTTTTCTTTCCCAAGCTATTCTAAAAACTTAATTAATTGGTGTATTTTCTCTCCATTAATTACCTTATTATTGTGGAGAAATATGTAATTTTCTCACCACAAATTGATGAAAGAAGACAGTATTAACTGTGTAGATATTTTATTGGACTGTTAAAGGCATAGTAATAGTAGTTTATACTGTAACCAAATTACTCCAATAACACAACTAAAATTACTATAGTATGCTAACTTACGTTTTAACTTAATATTAATCATTTGAAATTATAGCCACATAATCCTAATTTGAAATGTTCAGTTGTTGTAAAATAAAAACGAAGACCTCATAATTGTGTTGTTATCAATATAAATTGGTGCTGTAATATTGTTTCTGATAAAACTCACAATGTTTTCAATTGATTATTACAATACGACTCTTACTCCACATCATCAGCTTACTAGGTGACGTTTATGACCTGTTTTCACTTTTCTGACGTGTCTAGATAGCTTTCTGCTTAAGCCGTTTAATTTCTTATTATGGGCGTACTAAAGTAAGAGCTAGTTAGGGTTTTAACCTCACGCTTGAGGCCATAACGTTTGAAGGCGTTTTTTGACACAAAAATATGTCCTTGGGCATTACGTGCTATGTAATTATTAGTAACAATTTGGATTCTGAGAGAATTAGAGAAGTCAAAACGTATGTAAGTTACTCCATGCGTAAAAACACAGAAATAAAATCATCACTATATGAAATATATATTTGATTAAAATACGTGGTGAGGGTTTTTACAAAGTTGAAATACACAAATTCAAAACATTCTACTATAAATGAAAACCGATATGATAAAATCATCATTATGATGCCTGACAATTTTTGTAATGTTTTATATATTGTGGAAAATTTCGTAGCATTTTCTGTAAACAGGACGTAGAAAAGCAACCATTCATGGTATCACAAGTGTAGAATTAGGATAGACTTGTATATAAGCTGTATACGATCTGATGCAAAAATCGCGCATCACATGATGTCTCTGAGCCATGGCTTACAGATGTTTGAAATGTATACTATTGATATCATGACACAAAGTCACAACAGGATCGCTTCTACACGTTCTTACAAGACTAATGACATCCTAAAAGTCAGTGACACACAAAAATATTCATTTGGTTGTTGTTGAATTTCTCTGTCCCTAATTCTAAAGTAATAGACTGCAAGGAAGGTAGTTAGTCAACACCATCCACTACCAGCTCTTAGACTACTCTTTACAAAAAAGTAGTAGGATTGATCGTCACATTATAATGCCCTCACGGTTGGAAAGATCGACGATCAGTTTCGATTCTGCAACCCATAATTTGCGAGTCGAGCGCCCTAACCACTAAGTCATGCCAGGCCCTACGCAAAAAGTACTTAGAAAAATCATATTAAGGTCGAGGGTTATTTTGTCGTGTTATTTTGATACTCTTATCCAAAATTACATTCATTGTGAATATGAGATAGATCAACATTTCAGGTATAGACGTTGGGAACAGTAACTAAATAAATTGAAAAAAAGTCAATATTATGTCATCAACGATACCACTAATTACTGATTCCGTCCAATAATTCATCTTTTACACCATATACTAAATATATATATTTATAAATATATATAAATATATATATATATATTCTCTAGAAATAAGGGGAATTCTCTGCTAGGGACATAGTCGGACGAATGAGAACTGATACTATTCGAATCTGATATTGATTTGTAAATGCTGAAAAACGTTTATTAGGTATACCCGACTGTTTCATTTAAATTTAATACGAGAGTTATGATTTAGATAATTATCAAAGCGCGAGTGTTAAATTTCGTATTTTTGGAAGCGATAGCTTGTTCCAGGTTTGCTTTAAGTGAGTATTGTTACATTGTAATGTCTCGTAGTTTGTAGAAAGGTCTGTGCCTCAGTCGGGTAGTATATGTATAGGCGACCAAGTTATTGAAAGTAGAAGTAAAAGTGATATTAGACTGTGTGCGAGTTTAGCCATAACGGGAGATTTCTAAAGTGAGTTTCACAGCTTGTATTGTAATAACAGAGTAGAGGAGAATAATGTGTCTTATCAAAGGGTGTTCTAAAGTAATTGAACTCGCCTGTGTGGACTTTGACGAAAAAGAGACAATTATTTAAAGCTCTGAATATAACTGTGGTAACTAATAGTGTAACGAATTTTTGTACATACGTTTGACTTGTTTTGAATATATTATTTTAAAACAAGTGGATTGTGTGCTTTCCATTTCTTGTTGAAACTTATCGTCAACAAGTTACAGACACCTACTGTAAAGAATCCTGCCCATACACATAATACAAAACCTGACACTTTGCGAGCCAGCCAGGGTTATGCAGTGGTAAGTGGCGGTAGAATAAGACGTAAACAACAGCGAAAATATGCCTATATACACACAGCTGTATATAGCCATATATACAACCACACTATGTAACCATGTCGACTGACTTTGATAAATGAATAGAACGAGGTGAGCGACATGGACTCAAAGATGGCGAACTACTAGAGTTTGGTAAACAACAACAAGAACTAGAGAGAGAAGAGTGGCAACAGAAGAGAGAGGAGAAGAGTCAGAGAAGAGAGGAAGAAAGACTGAAAGAAGAAAAAGGAGAGAGATCTCGAATAAGAGCACAAATTAACAAAGAAGAAAAGGGGAGACTGGAAATAGAGAGAGAATAAGAGAACAAATTGTGAAAGAAGAGAATGAAAGAGAGAAGAGACTGTAAATACAAAGAATAAGAGTATAAATTGAGATCGTCAAGCTCACTCAACAGAAAAAAAAAAGACCCAAGAATGACAATGGGGTCAGGGCCAATCGACCCAAGCTGCCCAAATTTGATGAACAGAAAGACTACATGAATACTTTCCTGGAGAGATATGAAAGATTTGCCCAAATTCAGAACTGGAACAAAAGCAACTGGGCAGTCTCTCTCAGCCCCCTTCTCACAGGAAAAGGCCTACAAGTGTATGCCATAGACTATGGCAAGTTAAAAGTGGCCTTACAGAAATTCTATGAACTTACCAAAGAAGGTGTTCGTCGGAAGTTCAGAGAAGTCAAACCTGACACTAGAGAAACTGTATTTCAGTTTTTGACACATCTACGGCGATACTTCACAAGGTGGACTGACATGACCAAGTGTGAAGATAGTTTTGAAGGACTGGCAGGTCTAATAATACGTGAACAGTTCATAACCACGTGCTCAACTGACATGTCACTGTTCCTGAAGGAGAGAGGCCTGAAAGATGTAGACAAGATGATCAAGCTGACAGAACAGTATATGGAAGCTCATGGAGGGAGAATAACTGGCAAGCCCAAGAATAACCAGTTAAAATCGAAACCAGGGGTGTCTGACCAGAAGCACGCTGCCACCAAAGGTGACAAGAAGTGATAGAAGGGAGAAGACATGCTATGCTTGTTATAGAATGGGGCACATGAAAGAAAATGCAAGTCTGTTGTCAACAAGCAGCAGCAGCAATCTTAATATAAAGCAGCTGGAGCTATCTACAAAGATGGTGCTGGCAAGAGACAAGAAAATAATATATTTTGAATATATTATTTTAAAACAAGTGGATTGTGTGCTGTCCGTTTATTGTTGAAATTTATCGCCAACAAGTCACAGACACCTACTGTAAAGGATCCTGTCCATTCATATAATATAAAACCTGACAGATTTAAAGCGAAAGTCAACTGACTCGTATGTCATCTGTCAAAGCTACAGAAGGGTAGCAGAAGTGCACTGACAAATCATGAAATATCACAAAATATTTAGTAGCAAGATGTCAATGTGAATAAAAAAATTGTCATAGACGTTACCCAAAAGTATCGACCGAGCAATCTCTTTGCCATAAGGAACAGAAAAGACAGTTTCAAAGACACTTTACAGCCTTTTGACTGACGGTCTATAACTTTATTACATTAATTGTTAATAGTTTTGTATGAACGTAAGCAGCCGTGCCTGCATCAATGACGTTTGGCTGACAAACTATAACTTTATTATACAAATAGTTAATAGTTCTGAATGAGCATAAACAACCATATCCAAATCAATGACCTTTGACTGACGGTTTATATCTTTATTACATTAATATCTAATGGTTCTGAATGAACATTAACAACCATACCCACATCAATGATTTTTGATTGACAGTCTATAACTTGATTACATTAATGTCTAATGGTTCTGAATGAACATAAATAACCATACCCACATCAATGATTTTTGTAGCCATTGAAACCGCGAGTATATTAATAATATGTTTTCTACACTTTGTAATAACGAAAAAGATGTTTAGTCAAAATAAATATATTAATGTGTCAATTTTATTTATTTATCTGTAATGGTAAAACAGTTTTAAACAAGTTTTGTTTTTATTCGTGGCTCAGTGGTGAATCTAAGGGCTTATAACTCTAAAAAACGAGTTTCAATACCTGTTGTGGGCAAAGAAGCGATAGCCTTTGCGTAGTTTCATGCTCAACGGCAAACAAACGTCAAATAACATTTATGTGTTGAATTCCCCAAGCGAGAAGTGTTAATGCGAGACGTTTTCAATGACAATGGACAGAGATTATTGTATGTTTGCAGCGAAAGGCACCACGCATACATACACACACATATATATATATATATGGTTTACCTGATCGTAACATCTTTTTGTCGTAGCTGTTGATATTGGTTTCTTAAATTGTTAACTTCACTAAGATCATTTTTGTTTTTAATATCATTTTTATCACCTCTAGTGGAGTGTCTTTAATAATTTATTTTGTTAAGACATTACTTTTATCACCTCTAATGTATTGTTTTTAGAAAAATGTTTCGTTAAGATATTTTTGTCACCTCTAGTGGAATGTCTTTAAGAATCTACTGCGTTAGGATATTATTTTTGTCACCTCAAGAAGTGTATTTAAGAATCTATCTCGTTAAGATATTTTTATCACCTCAAATAGAGTATCTTTAAGAATCTATTTCGTTAAGATATTACTTTTGTCACCTCAAATAAAGTGTCTTTAAGAATCTATCTCGTTAAGATATTTTTATCACCTCAAATAGAGTATCTTTAAGAATCTATTTCGTTAAGATATTTTTATCACCTCAAATATAGTGTCTTTAAGAATCTATTTCGTTTAGATATTCTTTTGTCACCTCAAATAAAGTGTCTTTAAGAATCTATTTCGTTAAGATATTTTTATCACCGCCAGTGAAGTATATTTAGAATCTATTTCATTTCTGTTTTGTTAAGATCAACTTTATTCCTAGCAATAGCTGCAAACAGTGAGTAATAGATTAGGTACATGTCATTAAGATCAGAATTCCCACAACACTAACTGATAATTGTAAATTACGTATATACAAGGGAAGTTTGCAGAATAAGGTTAAAGCTGCTAACGCTTAACGCTACTTCTGTGCAAGTCGTACTTCAACAGAAATTATCTCTATCAGAATACATTCCACATTTCCCACTCTCTACTTGTGTCCTGGTTTATCTGTTTATTCTTTACGTTATACAGTTCCGCTTAATTAAAATATATCTATGTATACATACAAAAAAAAAACAACTAATAGATAGATGTATAGATAGATAGAAGACGTATTATACATTTTTTTGTCAACTTTCGCTTGTCATTAGTGTTTGACCTTTCACCGAGGTGCTGTAAGTTAGCACATGAGGATTAAAAACAAGGGGTTGTCAGTTTGCCAGGGACGCCACGAGATCGTGAGATGCGACGTCCCGCACCGTGCATTATGATAGCCAGCAGTAATGAATCTACACTTCAAGCGTAGCTAGCTAGCAGCTTAATGACATCCTTCCACACACAACAGTTGCACAGAAGCTGCGGTGGATAACTTCTTCTTCCAGAAAAACAAAACAAACAAAAAACTCTCGCTGTTAACAAATCAGTTATTTAACTAGTTAAAATATTTTAATAAGAGTTTTATTTCTTTTTTCATTTTATATCTTGTATGCACGTGTGAAGTTTAGTTTGCAAGTTGTTCTCTCTTTTTCTCAAGTGAAAAAAAAACCTAAATCAAAAGATAGATTATTTCTTTAATCCATTTGTTCACAACAAATATACATAGATGCTGACTTACCAGATTCGAAATTTCTTCTTGTTGTTAAATCAACTCGGGTTTTTCAGTCAAAATTAGATATTATATAATTAGTTTGCAGGATATTAATTAAAGTTTTAAATAATTAAAGATATAGGCATGTAAAAGTATTTGTTTTATCTTAGTCTTTAAAATTCTATTTGTTTTTTGTTTGAAGATATCTTATCAACGTGAATGTTGATGACTTCTTTTCTGTTTGAAAGTACGAAATATAATGAGTGTTTTGATTCTCTTGAAAATCTTAGACGCGTACTCACACAGCTTCCCTGCTACCATATGTTTGTTTAGCAGCGTCACTTACAGGCTGACCTGCATATTTATAACGATGAAAAAATTCTGATAAATGTTTAGGCTAAGAATTACGACTTCCAGCATTTCCCACATTTGTCTTGATCATATAAACCACCACTGCGAAATGAATATCTAAAGATACAAAAGCTATACGTTATTGGGTATATCAAACTCAATTTAACCCACGATTCGGATTATCAAGCTCAATAACGCAATAATCTCAAAACACAACAAGAACAAATAACTCAAGATTCAGAAGGTAGCCACTAAATCCTTTTTATACTGCCATGTGACCAAAACAAAGTTTAACAAGAAAACAAAAAGGGTATGATAGTTTCGATTTAACAGGACTAGACATTATTAATTGAGCACGTTCAACATACTCCCACGGTTACGTATTTCAAACTTTGTAGGAGCAAAATTAAACTTACACATATTTCAAAACATTATTAAATGTATACTTCTTTCAATCACAGTTAAACCTATAAGTTTTACATAAACATAAGACAGATTAACTATTGCGTTTAAATAAGATATGGTATGAGTATAAATGATCAACACCTGCGTAATGTTTAGAATCAAATAAATAATTAAAATACAACGATTCATGTTTATACAATAAGTAGTTTAATTGTGTAAATATGGATCGTTGCATTTTAATTATTTATTTGATTTTAAGAAACGGCACGGTCTTATACAGAAATATCAGTCAGTATAAAACAGCCTGAACCAAATAAATAATTACAAAAGTGAAACGGCAAATAGAAGGACGAAATCTTTGGATAGGCAGACAACTCGATAGATTCGATGACGAGGAACCCACTTTGAGACTAATAATGGGTGGAGACGGCTTGAATGGGTAATGAAGAAAAACTTTA